GTTTGTTTGTTAAAGGCCTATTAATTCCATGCCTCCCAAGTGCTCCTGGGTGTGGGTCCATGGCCTGAAATCTGGTCAACCTACCAGGTGTCACACTAGTAAGGAAAGCTGACTATCCCTCACCCAGCATCCATCAGTAGCCGATAGATTCTCTGCTAGGACTGAGGCTTCTGCCCCCCCTTCCATCATGTTGGGGCCCTGTCTGCCTTTGGTTTGTACAAATCTTAGGCGTGCTGTCATGAGTGCTGTGGGCTCATATATACCTCTACCCTCTGGTGTCCAGACAACACAGTTTCCTTGTATCTTTCTGCTCCCTCTTTCACAATGATCGTTGAGCCTTCAGAAGAGAAGGTACAATATAAGTGTCCCATTTAAGTCTGAGCACTCTGATCTTATTTTCTGCATGTTGACTATTTGTGGGTCTCTGTGTTAATCACCATCTGCTACAAGAAGAAGCTTCTCTGGTGAGAGTTGAAGGGTGGGTATAGCAATAAGCCATTAGGAGTCAGTTTAGTATTATGCCTACTTAGAATAATGAGAGAATGGTAGTAGGTTCTCCCCTATGGCTTGTGATTTGACTAGGCACAGGTTCTTGCCCTGTTAATAATGTCATGTATGGGCTGCCTATTGTGAAGCAGGCCTTAAATCCAATTAGAAGATTATTGTTATGGTTACTCTCATAATATTCAATCCTAAGTGAGGTAACCCAGACCCAGAAAGACAAACATCCTATATTCTTATTCATAAGTGGATGCTAGGGTTCAATCTTCAGATAGATGTTTCAATTAAAAAATCCTTAGACATTAGAAAACTGATAAGGTTCAGAGGGAGAGGAGTAGTTCAAGGGAGGGGAGAGAGAATGCATTAGTATAAATGGGAAAGGGAAATAAAAGATAGGCTGGGTTTAATGGGCTGGGGAATGGGAGAGGAGAGCAGAAGAGGGAGTATGAGGAGGGATAATTAACACTAAAGGTCTTTTGAAAAAGTCATATGGAAACCTACCACAGAAGCTTCTCTCTGTATATACATACATAATATAAAAAGAGTTTAAAGATAGTTTCTCTATAACAGGGGTTCAATGCTTTAATAAGACTAGCAAATGAAAAGACCAGTGCAAGTAATGGACTCCCTCTTTGGGAGTTGCTGACCAGAGAGATCTCATAGGTCCTTAAACTGGCTATTTCCATTGTACTTGGTTACCCACCAGAACAGACAGCAAGACCCTATTGCTGAAGACAATACATGTCTGAGTCACAGAACAAACAAGGAGAAATCAAGCCAATACTGACCTTGAAGCTACAGCCTGTTGGCTAGCTTTCATAGTACTAGAAGGTGCTATGCATGGTACTGACAGAGAAAGGTTTTTATCAATCTTGCCCAGCTGTGAACTCTACAAACTACAGTGGCAACTGACTTGGGGAAAAAAAAAACAACTGTCTTGAATGATTTACTAGAGTCTGCTTGTTTGAGCTTGATCTGATTTAGACTACTTAGTATTGTCTTTTCTGAATTGTGACAAAACAGCTTCTGTCATAAATGTTTTCCTGAAGTAGGTTAGGTCGATAGATATAGCAGATTTGTAGCTGGACCAACCAACCAGGCATGCCGGAATTGAATTAGTGAGGATCTGTGTCCTTGTTAGCGTCAACTGTCAACCTGACACTCCCTAGAGTCGTGTGAGAAGGAAGCCCCTTCCCTCCCTAGATCAGATTGGCCTGTGGAAATGTCCTGGGGAGTATTGCCTTGACTAACTCTGGAAGAACAGCAAGTGTTCTTAACCCCTGAGCCATCTCTCCATCCCCCAGCACCAATATTTTAAAGACCTTTGACAAGCTACTGTTTAGGTGTTGTTATATGTTGTTATTAAGTAAAAATGATAATCATTCACCAATTCAGTCAGTCCACCAATCAGAAACAATTTCCTGAGGAACAAGAATGGGTGAGAACGGGGCAGCGATAGGAAGGGAGGTTAGCAAAGGAGCCAGGGCAAGGCTGCACAGGGTGTTTGTTAGCACTCTGTCCTCCCCTACTCTGGGCCATAACAGCTTCTATGGGGTTGCCGATGTTAACAGTCCATCCAGAAGCTTGTACAACATTGTAATTTCACGACTGCATCCTATGGTCTAGTATTCCTGAGGAAATAGAAGAAGACATAGGATGCATCTGAGCTGGCAGTGTCTGGGCATGTATAATGTGACCAAAGACTCTACCTTGTCTCCTGTTATGTGAACTCTTAAAGGAAATTTCTGCTATTCTGTTTTCAGTCTACTTTTGGATTTGTGGTGTGTCTTTAGGACAAGACATTTTTGATTTATTGTCACAACTCCTAACTTGACCCCTTTTCTTCTCTATTTTTTTCTAATACTGTTATTTGCTATATAAAACAACATTATTATGAAGTGATTAAATCCCTGGGCCTTGTGATAAGACTGCTGGGATGATATCCTGATTCTGATATTTACTAGTTGTGTGGCCTTGGCAAGTTTTAAACTGAGCCTCGGTTTCTCCCTATGTAATTTGAAGATCACACACATGCCTACCTACCCTATGAGAGTTTCCATGAGGATCAAGTGAGAGATTCTGTGCCCTGGTAAATATTAATTATTAATATTGTTCCCTCCGTTGTTAGACAGGGAGGCCACAGAGACACACACTGCTGCCCCAATACACACACTCAGTTCACGATCTTGCCATTATTCTTGGTTGCCTTCCAGAACTATATGATGAGACTCTATTAGTGAAGATATCCCACATCTTGGTTGCAGTATATGGAGAAATCAAGCTGAGTAGAAACTTCCTTCCTGCTGGCTTTGTTTTATAGTGCCAGAAGAAAAAGCATCAACTGTAGCCACCTCTCCTGTCCCTTAGAGACAAATGGCACTCGGCACACTAGGGGTTAACAAACGTCCTTAGACTCAGCCAACACAAGGGAAAGCCTACACCTGTTCCCTCCTGGGATGCTAGGAACATGCTGGAGAGACAGTGCAGTCATCATTGGATAAGGCTAACAATTCTCTCTGTGCAAATATGATCAACACGTTTTAAAGAAGTCTGTTGTGCACACTTAGCCTTAAGCAAGTCTAGCCATCTCCTGACTACAGCAATAAAGAAATTCCTAATTGTTTTGAACTTCTTAAGCATTAATCATGTGTGAGCTTTGAATGAATTCTTTACACTCAGCTATCCTAATAAAATCCTTTCAGAGTGCCGTAATAAGCACTCCTGAGCAGCATAGCCTGGAGTCACTGGGTCCTGTCAGGTCCTCCAAGTCTTGACTTCAGTTCCTCAGCACTGGTTACTCCAGGTGTCCACATCAACAGTCTTACCTAGCTGTGAACCCTATGAACTGCAACACCAACTTGCCAGACAAGAAGTGTCTATCTGTCCAATAGTGGCACAACTTTTATAGGTATAACCAAGCATTCTCTGATTGTATTTAAATCCTGTTCCACAGGAGGGAATCGATCTGGTACTGTAAACCTGGTCAAAAACCCATGCCTGAGGAGGCTGTAGGGCCTACGGTGTAACTTACTACTGCTGTTTAGCTAAATTGGCATAGTGACAAACTGCCTTCTAAATATCTGCATTTATACACAGGAGCAAATGCTATTCTTAGGCTTAATCAGAGAAGCCTTCCTTTACAGCAAATGGCAGAGAATGCAGAGACTCATGCTGCGCATGGTGTTGAGTATAAGTGATGACTGAGGGCTCTGCCCCAAAACAAGACGTTTATACTACGCCCTCTAAGGGTTAGGGAACATCACAGAAGAGGGGGCAGAAAAAATGTAAAAGCTGGAAGATAAGAGGAAAGGCTGAGAAATGCTCTCTTCAGAGCATGACAGCCACTCGAATCATGATATCACAGCAGATAGCACAGTCCTGCATGGGTCTTCACAAGACTGGGCATGTTAACAGTCTATCACAGATAAGGAAGGAGCTCATAGGGCCCTACCCTTCCAGCTGAACTATTGGATGCTGAATTTAGTTGTGGACCCACTGAGGAGCCCATTAGCCTCCAATGGATAGTTCCAAACCCATGGTCACACAGGCTGTTTGGGTTAAACTCAGTGGGTCACAGGACAAAACAAAACAGGGAAATGTGAATGTGGGAAAGGAATTTGTAGGGCAGATAAGGAGGGAGTTAGAGAGGGTGGGGGTGAGAAAAATCAGGAGTTATACATAT